CCAATTTTTTCTTTAACCTTTTGGTAGATTTCTTATTTGCCTTTCCCTTGAGCTGTTGTATCCTTTTATAGTTTTGTTTAAGAGAGGCTATTAGGTCAATTTTCTTTTTCTTCATTTTACAAAAAGTTATTTGCTAGTCAGTTTAAATTCGTATAGTTTCTGGTGTATGTTATCTGCCTTTTGTAATGTTTCTTTCTTTTCTTTTTGTTCTGCTTATTTTTGAAGGGATGCCTTCTGGACCACCATTGTACAGCAGCATAGTGTTGAGGATAAGCTGTGACAGTGGGCTGTGGCAGGGTTGAACACAGGTGTTAGTGATGGCTGTTCTAAGATAGCAAGACTCTCAAGCCAGTAGGAATCCTTTGGCTCAGTATGAAGTATCTGTTGTCCTATATTTTATTTTTTAATTTTAATTTTATTACACTTTTGAAACAATTAGAGATGCATGGCAAGTTGTAAAGATCCTACAGAAAGGTCTTGTGTGCCCCTCACAAAATTTCCTGCAGTGGTTACATCTTATATAATTATAGTACACCATCAAAACAGGAGCATTAGTATTGGCACAGTGCCTGTATATGGTTCTATTTGATTTTATTGCATATGTAGATTCCTGTAACTACCATCACAGTCAAGATACAGAACTAATCCATCACCACAAAGATCTCCTTATGGTACCGTTTATAATCATACCTACCACCTCCGCCCAACCATCTCTACCTCCTGGCAACCACTAATCTGTTTTCCATCTCTATAATTTTTGTCATTTTGAGAATACTGTAGGTGAAATCATAGAGCGTATTATCTTTTGAGGTTGCTAAGTGTATGTTTAGTTTTTTTTTTTGTTAGTTTTTTTTTTTTTTTTTGAGGCGGAGTTTCGCTCTTGTTACCCAGGCTGGAGTGCAATGGCGCAATCTCGGCTCACCGCAACCTCCGCCTCCTGGGTTCAGGCAATTCTCCTGCCTCAGCCTCCTGAGTAGCTGGGATTACAGGCACGTGCCACCATGCCCAGCTAATTTTTTGTATTTTTAGTAGAGACGGGGTTTCACCATGTTGACCAGGATGGTCTCGATCTCTCGACCTCGTGATCCACCCGCCTCGGCCTCCCAAAGTGCTGGGATTACAGGCTTGAGCCACCGCGCCCGGCTTGTATGTTTAGTTTTTTTAAGAAATCACCAAACTACTTTCCAGAGTGTCTTTACCATTTTACATTGCTACCAGCAATGTATGAGAGAGCCATTGTTTCCACATCAGGTCTGCATTTTATACTATAACTTTTTGTTTTAGGTGTTCTGATAGTTAAGTGGTAGTATCATGGTCTTAACTTTTCCTTGAAGTGGCTTTTAATTTGCATTTCTTTAATGAGTAAATTAGGTTTAGTATCTTTTCATGTGCTTATTGGCCTTTTTTCTTTAAAAAAAAAAAAAAAAAAAAATTTTTTTTTTTTGAGACAGAGTCTTACTCTGTCACCAGGCGCCAGCAGGCTGGAGTGCAGCGCCACCACACCCAGCTAATTTTTTTTGTGTGTGTGTTTTTAGTAGAGACGGGGTTTCACCGTGTTGGCCAGGATGGTTTCGATCTCTTGACCTCGTGATCTGCCCACCTCAGCCTCCCAAAGTGCTGGGATTGCAGGTGTGAGCCACTGCGCCCGGCCCTAAATTTTTTTTTTCTTTTTAAGACGGGGTCTTGCTGTGTTTCCCAGGCTGGAGTGCAGTGGCTATTCACAGGCGCGATCCCACTACTGATCATCACGGGAGTTTTGACCTGCTCCGTTTCCGACCTGGGCCGGTTCACCCCTCCTTAGGCAACCTGGTGGTCCCCTGCTCCTGGGAGGTCACTATATTGATGCTGAACTTAGTGTGCACACCCGATTGGCATAGCACACTACAACCCAGAACTCCTGGGCTCAAGCGATCTTCCCACCTCAGCCTCCCGAGTAGCTGGGACTATAGGCACGCACCACTGCACCTGGCTAATTGGCTTTCTTTGGAGAAATATTTTTTCAAAACCAGCGGGTTATTTGTCTTTTTTTAATTGTTGAGTTGTAAGGATTCTTAGGTGTTCTAGGTACCAGTGTCTTGTGAGATATGTGATTTGCAAATACTTTCTTCCATTTTCCATGTTGTCTTTTTATTCTCTTGATGGTGTTGTTTGAAGTACAAAAGTTTTTATATTTGACAAAGTTCTGTTTATTTTATTTTGTCATTTGCGCTTTTGGTTTTGATAATTCATTTTTTGTTTGTTTATTTTTATTTACTTAGAGATGTGTTCTTCCTGTGTTGCCCAGGTTGGTCTTGAACTCTTGGTCGCAAGTGATCCTCCCTTTTCGGCCTCTCCAAGTGCTGGGAATACAGGTGTGAGCCACTGTGTTCGTTCAGCTTTTTGTACTCCATATAAATGCAGCAATATAGTGTGTTTTCTTTGAGTGACTTTTTAGGTTTGTGAGACTTATCTGTGTTATGTGGAGCAGTAGTTCATTCTCCTTGTATAATCATTGCATGTATTTACAAAAATTAACTCAGGTATTCTACAGTTGATGGCATTTAGTTGTTTCCAATTTGGCTAGTGCAGATAATGTTGCTGAAGACAATCTTACATGTCTAGGTGCACACAAGCAGGCAATATCTTGGGGGATATGTATCGGGGTAGACTATATAGGGGTCCTAGGATATTCATATATTTGACTTTAGTAGATTGGATCAGTTTTCCAACTGGCATCAGTTTACATTCCCACTAAATTGTGCTTACTTAACTCCCATGTAAGAGTTTTTGTAAATACTCCACACTATTACTAATGTGATATTGTCAGTCTTTTTAATACTCTAGTATTTGATTGTGGTTTTAACTTGAATCTCCCTGATGACCAATGAGGAAGTGGCCAGATATCTTTTCTTATGTTGATTGGGTATGGTGTTAGTCATTTATATGTGGTTTAAGAAAACATTTAGTTCTTGTTCACTTACAATGGTGGTGGCTGTTATGGAGCTATACTTGTTATTCTGGGAATTAGGCTGAAAGAGTAGCTCCTATTTGAGATGTGCTGTTATTTCAGAAAGAGAAAAAAAAATTGGCAGAAATGACTGATAGTTTTGAAGTTACTGTTTGGATTAAGTGTAGGTCATATCCATTCATGTTCCATTGGCCAAAGGATTTTACAAAACTGTGTTCATTGTCAGTGGGGGAGGGAGTTATACTCCTCCCACTGGAGGCATTGCAAGTCACATGGCCATGGATGGGGATGAATGATTCTTTTTCAGGAACAGGAGAGGGTGCAAATACTCTGGAACAGTAATATAGTCCACCACTTTGTGAGATGCCTGTTCAAGTCTCTTGTCATTTTTCTGGTATCTTGGCTTTTCCTTACTGATTCCTAGTGTTTTGTTTTTCCTTTTTTCTTTTTCTTAGTGACTTCCGGATGTAAACCCTTTGTTGGTTTTATGTATCGCAATATCTTTTTGTTCCATGACTTGTATGTTTATTCTCCTAATGATGTCTTTTGTTAAATTGTTAATTTTAATGTTATCTAGCTTATCAGTATTTTTTGCTTTATAGTTGTTTTTGTTATTCTTGAAAAACATACATTTCTGGAAATCTAGAAGGAACTAAAGTGACCTTCAAATGGTTTCTAAGATTATATTAACTTGATTTATAGGTAGAAACATATTGATGCTAACTCATATGCGTGGAAGATCTATTAGTAGTACATTTAACCAAATTCCTCATATATAAAAATCATGTTAGTTTAAATTTTTTACTATCAATACACATAAAGCTGCAAAATTGTGTCTTACTTTATATGCAGGTAGCCAGCAAACCACAAAGTCTGTTAGTTATTATATGTAGCCTGATAATATCTACATTTCAGATATTATTAGGAAGACCTATTCTTTAAGTGAGGCCTTAATCTTGATTTTTCGGGGAGTTGAGATTTTCAGTTTTCTTTTATGTTGATTACTTCATTCCTTCTTCTAGTTCTGGGATGTCTCTATAAACTTACAGTGAAAGATCCAAAGGGAGTAATTTCTGGATGTTTAATACAGGACTTGTTTAAATAATTGGATTTCTATTGTGTAGATATATTGTTGGTTTGTCTTTCTTCAGCAGAGGCTGAAGTTGTTCCCCACAGAAGTGGCACCTTCACCTAAACATTAAATATGTGCTGTAGCACTGTTGCTGTTCTAATATTTGTAGGATTGTTTGGGGATTTTTATTATCCAGTGGATCAAAACACTTGTTCTTAAAAATTGGTAAAGCTAAACCAATAGTACTATTTAAAATAGGTTGGTTTTAACTTGGTACACAGTATTTATTGTCCTTCCTAAAGGTAATCTTTTACATGTTGGTAATAGATCTTAGGTTACAGTGAAAAGACTTCTCTGACCTACTTTTTAGTGTTGCCAGTTCAGATTCGGAATTTGATCAAACTCTTACTTGAAAAAAAGAATAAATTACTTAAACAATTGTTTAAAAAATAGTCTGCACTAAAGATCATTATGAGGATTAATGGTTAAAAAGTTATTGATTATAAAGAATTTGGTCAATATGGAAATAAATTGTATCTACTTAAAAAATACATTAATATTGAAAAGTCAGAATTCTTAGGGAGGAGCTATACAAACTATTTGCATGTAAATATATACTACAAAAACAATGTCATAATACAACCCCCTGAATATGGTTTGGCACTTCAGATGTTATGTTTTGGAAAACTGGGTTTGGTTAGAAAGAATTGCAAGATTATGCCCCATTTCTGTGGTGGCAGTTGTGTTTTTGTTTTTGTTTTTTTTTAAATAACTAACAATACAGTTGTGGATTTGCAGCAGTTTTTCCTTGCTATGCAGTTTATTTCCAACCTTTTGATTTTGTGATTCTTGAGGAGTTCCCCCTTTAATATCTTCATACAAAGATGAAGTAATATTATTAGATTTTAATACTTTTAGTAGTAGATATGCACCATTTTCTAAAACTTGGTTTATTAACCGAACGATGGTTTTGCTTTTCAGCGGGGATCTGATGAGCTTCTTTCTTCTGGCATCATTAACGGACTTTTTACCATGAACAGTTCTACTCCTTCTACAGGTGTGTATGGTGAGTTCTTTTTTTTTTTTTTTTTTAACCTTTTCTTTCCATGGGTTTCAATTTTTTTTTACAGTGTTCTTATTTTGTTCATCTTACATCGTGTCAAAGTCATTCATCTTATAAATTTGTTGCAGTAAAGTACTATATACTGTTTACATAGATGAAATCACTATACCTCTCAAGTTTTACAGATTCATTTGGATCTAATTTGATAATTCTTTTTTTTTAATTGATGTTCTTTGTGTTACATAGCTTGGATAAAAATACTATCAAAAAGTTGGTGACCCAGAATTATTGAGTAAAAGAGTTAGATGTAAAACTTGTGTTGAGGCTGGGCATGGCACCTCAAGCCTGTAATCCCAGCACTTTGGGAGGACTAGGTGGGCTGATCATCTGTGGTTAGGAGTTCGAGACCAGCCTGGCCAACATGGCAAAACCCTGTCTCTACTAAAAATACAAAAATTAGGCCGGGCGCGGTGGCTCAAGCCTGTAATCCCAGCACTTTGGGAGGCCGAGGCGGGTGGATCACAAGGTCGAGAGATCGAGACCAACCTGGTCAACATGGTGAAACCCCGTCTCTACTAAAAATACAAAAAATTAGCTGGGCATGGTGGCGCGTGCCTGTAATCCCAGCTACTCAGGAGGCTGAGGCAGGAGAATTGCCTGAACCCAGGAGGCGGAGGTTGCAGTGAGCCAAGATCGTGCCATTGCACTCCAGCCTGGGTAACAAGAGCGAAACTCCGTCTCAAAAAAAAAAAAAAAAATACAAAAATTAGCCAGGTGTGATGGCAGGCATCTGTAATCCAGCTACTCAGGAAGCTGAGGCAGGAAGAATTGCTTGAACTCAGAAGGCAGAGGTTGCAGTGAGCCAAGAGATGCCATTGCATTCCAGCCTGGGTGACAGCGCAAGACTCTGCCTCAAAAAAAAAAAAAAGCAAAAAACAAACAAACAAAAAAAAACAAAAAAACCTGTGTTGGGTGATAACGGAGGACGTGCAATAGAAGCATTAAAGTATAAGACAGTATATTTTAAAAATTGAAGTAATTTACCTGCCGTAAGGTACCACATGATTTAAAAACAAATGTTCTTGAAATTTAGTGGCTGTAAAGTGAATTGAAGGAGTACAGTACTGCAAAGAGTGAGCAGTGAAAAATATTGATGCAATCCTGTAAAGCAGGCATCCCCAAACTGCGGCCCCCTGAGGCCATTTATCCAGCGCCCCCCCAACCCCGCCGCACTTCAGGAAGGGGCACCTCTTTCATTGGTGGTCAGTGAGAGGAGCACAGTGTGTGGTGGCCCTCCAACGGTCTGAGGGACAGTGAACTGGCCCCCTGTGTAAAAAGTTTGGGGACGCCTGCTGTAAAGGATGGTAGCTGGCACTGTGGCAGTGGTAGTGTGATGAAGAAAACTGAATAACTAACTTATAGAAGATAAAATTGATAGTAATTGATGATTAACTGAATGTTTGAATAAGGGATTTCAATTATTGATTTCCAGGTTTTGGACTTGGATAACTAGATAGATGAATGGTAATGAATGGGTGTGCCATTCATTTTTATTAGAATGTAGGAAGAACAGAATTGGACAACACAGTACGTTCAGATTTGTATATACTGAATTTGAGATTCCTGTGGAACATCCAAATGGAAATGTCAGATAGGCAGTGGGTCCCTGGTCTCAACATCACAAAAGAAATTTGACAGTGTCGGCCGGGCGCGGTGGCTCAAGCCTGTAATTCCAGCACTTTGGGAGGCCGAGGCGGGTGGATCACGAGGTCAAGAGATGGAGACCATCCTGGTCAACACGGTGAAACCCCGTCTCTACTAAAAATACTAAAAAAAATTAGCTGGGCATGGTGGCGTGTGCCTGTAATCCCAGCTACTCAAGAGGCTGAGGCAGGAGAATTGCCTGAACCCAGGAGGCGGAGGTTGCTGTGAGCCGAGATTGCGCCATTGCACTCCAGCCTAGGCAACAAGAGCGAAACTCCGTCTCAAAAAAAAAAAAAAAAAAAAAAGAAATTTGACAGTGTCATACACAGTTGACAGCTGAAGCCATGGGCATGGAGAGTTTCAGAGAAGGAAGGATTTCTTTATGCAAGTATTTTTGGAGTTGTAGGGAGTTAGGGATGAATGGACCTCCCTTTCCAGACCAGGAGCTTTATATGTGGTTTGGGACCATGGGAACATAGACGTTTGGGAAAGTGAATAGTTATAGAGATGTAATGAAAAAATTGGATCTACTAAGCTCATTCTAGCTTATTTTAATGTAATTATTAATAATAATTCTTTTTAAAAATGAAGGTGTTAGAGCATACAGGAAACTAGAACAATGGTACCACACTGACAGCCTCAGGCAAACTAGGACTTACAGTCATTCTATATAGGTGTTGTTATTAAAAAATTAACACCTGATTCTATCACCTAACACTAACGTTCTATTTAGGTGTTGTTTTAAAAAAATTATCTTAGCTTAATGTGGACATGTCTTCTTCCATGTGAACTTTAAATTATTTCATCTAGTTCAGCATATCCAATCTTTTACCTTCCCTGAGCCATACTGAGAGAATTCTCTTGGACCACACATAAAATATACTAACATTAATGATAGCTGATGAACTAAAAAAAATTGCAAAAAAATCTCAACATTTTAAGAAAGTTTACGAATTTGTGTTGGACTGTCCTGGGCTGCATGTGGCCCATAAGCTGCACGTTGGACAAGCTCCATTTAGTTCTAAAACAATCCTTCTTTCCCTAACTTTTACCTACAATATCTTAGGGATTCTGATAAGAATTATGTTAGAGTTATATGATAATGTGAAACGTTGATCTTTTTTAGTATTATCTTTCCATTTGGGAATATGACCTATGATTCCATGTTTTTAGGTTCTATTTTATCTTTATTTATTTATTATTTCTCTGTGACTCTGCCAAAGATTAGGTTCTATTTTATGTCCATTGACAGTTATGAAAAAGTTCCACACTTTTCCATATAAATCATATCCTTTTCTTTTAAAATGCAATCTTAGGAATTAATGTCAGAGGTTGTTTATTGTGTACCCCAGTGGTATTCTTTCATTTTCTTTACCAACAGAACCCTAATTTTTATGTGGCACATTGCTACCCAGATGAAACTGCTGCTCTTCTGTTCTTCCTTAGCATGTAATTAAGTCTTGACAAGATATAAGTAGAAGTATAACATGAGACTTGTAGGGCATCTCTGCATGGGCACGCCATTTTTCTTCCCTACCGCCCCCTCCCCGCAATCTTATTGCCTGTGTTGTCCAGCTTTTTAGATGATGATGGAAACAGCAGGCGTCTATAACAGAGACAGCTAGAGCCTGGTAACTGTCACCATTCTAGATCTGGAATTCCTACATTTAGACTTCTTGTGTGAGCAAGAGATTAATTTAGTCTTCTTCCTTTTTTTTTTTTTTTCTTTTGAGACTGAGTCTTGCTCTGTCTCATCCAGGCTGGAGTGCAGTGGTGTAGTCTCTGCTTACTGCACCTACTACCTCCAGGGTTCAAGAGATTCTCCTGCCTTGGCCTCCGAGTACCTGGGATTATAGGCACCTGCCACCATGCCCGGCTAATTTTTGTATTTTTAGCATTGACAGGTTTTGCCATGTTGGCCAGGTTGGTCTTGAACTCCTGATCTCAAGTCATCCACCCGCCTTGGCCTCCTAAAGTGCTGGGATTACAGGCATGAGCCACTGAGCCTTGCTGAGGTTAACTTCTTAAGTAACTGTTACTTCATATGTTATTATATACAGCTAAACTTAAATTTTCATTTTTAACTGGATGCTGCTAGTACAGAGAAGACCTATTGAGTTTTGAATATTTATTTTGTGTATACCTACTTTAAAAAATATCTTACATATTTTTTATTAGTCTTTAGAATTTTTATTAGTCTTTTGAATTTTGCAGACTAATTTTTCATTAGTCTTTTGAATTTTGCAGTTATTCAGTGATATTTTTTCATTAGTCTTTTGAATTTTGCAGTTATTCAGTGATAAATAAAGATAATTTCAAGTATATAAATATATGGATTATTTTGTTAACTTGCTATGTATTCACTGGAACCTGCATAAATGAGTTGAATAACAGTGGTAATTGTGATTGTCTTTGTGTTGTTCTTAATTGCAATGGAGGTGGCTTTATTTAATCTTTTAATATGATGTTTGCTGTTGGGGTGTTTTGTTTTGTTTTTGAAACAGGGTCTTGATCTGTTGCCCACCCTGGAGTGCAGTGGCACAAACATGGCTCACTGCAGCCCCAACCTCCTGGGTTCAGGCAGTCCTCTCACCACAACCTCCCAACTAGCTGGGACTACAGGCGTGTGCCACCACACCCAGCTAATTTTTTATTTTTATTTTATAGAGATGGGGCCTTACTAAGTTGCCCATAGGCTGGTCTTAAACTCCTGGGCTCAATCAGTCCTCCTTCCTTGGCCTCCTGAAGTGCTGGGATTATAGGCACCTTGCTGGGTTTTGATAATAATCTTTCATCATACTTTAATCTTTTTCTTCCTTTTCTATTTTACTTAGTTTTTATTATCAATGGCTATAAATGTTATCATCTTTTGTGCTTCTGTTAATTGTGATATTTGGTCTCCATTAATTTTTTTGATGTAGTAAAATACAATTTCATGTTGTCGACTCAATTTGCATGCCAGGAATAAACCAACTTGGTCATGGGGTATTATTTTGGTATGCTATACTAATTCAGATATAGGTTAGATAGCTAATAGAAATAATACAGACCTGAAAATACAGATGTAAATTTATTTCTAAGTTCTTCTGAAGTCTTGGTAAGTAGTCAGGGGCTTACTTAGTTTCTTGACTTTGTTGGGGACCAGACTTTTTCTCTTTTGTTGTTGTTTTATCCTCAACATCACTACCTTCTCAAGATTTAAAATAGTACTCTCTCTCTCCGTCGTACCCACAGGAAGGGTAAGAAGGACAGTTGAAGCTGAACTTCCTCATTCATCTTAGGGTGTAATTCTCATCATT